TTTATCTCTTTCACAAACCGCTACGACCTTTCACAATCAATTGGAATTTCAAATTTAAATCAAAATTCTAAGTTTAAGACCCCAAATTAGATTTTTAGCTTCGAATTACAAGTTTAGATCTAAATTCTGACAATTCTAATTGATAAAAATATGTCTTAGAAATTGAAATTTTAAAAAAGCCACAATTTCTGACTTGAAATCTAGCATTAAAATGTTTTTGTAATTTTTGGTCAACAAAAATTTTATTTAATCACGGTAACAAAAATAGGACTTAAAATTCTAAGTTTAAGACCCCAAAGTAGATTCTCAGCTTCGAATTACAAGTTTAGATCTGAATTCTGACAATCATAATTGATAAAAATCTGTCTTAGAAATTGAAATCTCAAAAAAGCCAAAATTTTTGACTTGAAATCTGGCATTGAAAATTCTTCTGTAATTTTAGTCAACAAAAATTATATTTAATCACGTAACTAAAATAAGACTCTTTAAATGGAAAAGTTAGAAATTCAAATTTAAATCAAAATTTTTAGGTATTCCTGTAATTTACAAAAATTCCAAATTTCGTAAAATGTTTTTGATTGTGTTTCACACTATCGGTGATCTTTTCAATTTGTTTATCTCCTTCACAAACCGCTACGACCTTTCACAATCCCATCATTCTTCGATTCTACAGTTACTCCCGTGTTTTGTCCACAACTCATAACCGATTGACTTCTCTTCGATAGTTAGCCACGTGTGAAAGGCCGCACGACATCCGACCTCGTTTGTCATTTGTTTATTGTTGATACACTTAACGATTAGTTCGCTCGTGCCTTTGGAATGTTACATAACGGTTCCATCCTGATATAAAATACTTTGTAATGCCTTCCTTCAAGTTTTCTTTTTCTTCGACGACCACTACATTAAATAGAGTGCCTCGAAACGGGATCCGCCACTGCAATTTTCGATTCCACGCCAAAAACATAATCGCCGGTGAAAAAAACGACCCCACATACCACAGACTGCAAAACTAAAGAGTGAAATTGCTGAGAAAAAGCAGCACGTGACACTACTAAACAAAAGAAAGTTGCAAGAAAAATTGAAGAAACTGAAAACAGCGACCGTTAGCAGCTTTTTCGCATATTAACGGTGCTGAAAATGCCCCTTTTTCCCTAACATATCTCTTGTCTAGTGTATGCTTGGCTGTTAAGCTCTCGTGTAATGAATCGGATAAATGAGCTGGAACGCAAACAAGCCTTTGATGCGTTCGACTATAAGCCCCAACAGCAGTTATACACTCCTAGTAAATCTTTCGCGATTGATCGTGTCGGAGGAGAAGACTGCACTAATAAGATTACGTAGGATTGCGCTCTGAAGTGGCCTCAGGCTGCTCGTTATGCCTATTTTTACGATTAACGAGATCCAAACAACGGGAGCAAAACGAATTTTACGATTGAAAGCCGTAAATCAGGACAATCGATACGATACCGATGCGAATTTCAACCAATAAAAGCACGTAAGCGACGAAAATTAATAAAGAAGTGCTGCCGCCACATGCCATTAGACCAATTGCACATGGGAGCTTCTGGACAGTTCTGGAAATTCATATGAGGTCGTGTGCCTCCAGATTTTCTCTTAAACAATGGCGTTTTCGCTGAAATTTGGGGCAAAAAGTGTGTTCGGAAGGCTTGACTTCCTACAATTGCGCATTAGATCCGTCATCATGCATGAGTGGAGAAGACAAACGCATGTCGAAGGTAGGCAAATCGAGGTCATGTAGGAAAGAACAAAAAGACGCACCTCTGGAGATATGACAAGATGATTATCCAACCGAAAGAAGAAATGTTATAAATACCAGACCGCAAGAAATAGGTCCTTTTTCTCGTATTTTCTAAACGAATTAGGATTGAAGTAATCATTGTAATGAGTTGAACCATAACGAAACGCTAGTAGGTCATTACTACTCTTCGGTCGGCTTACTGTTACCGGCCTTTGAAGAATCCACCGTCACTCTTCATCACTTCAATTATTTAAATATCTCGGTTTCCATGAAATCACAATTTTCCTATCAAAATCGTGACTAAATTGTTACCAAATTGATTTCTTACGGTTGTTGTCTTTGTAGTATTGTACTCACTGACCTAGGAGATCTTATTCAGAACGACGAATGACGACAATCTCGTCTTTTAATTGCAGCAAAAACCATCAGCAGTCACCCGTCTGAACAATACGCGATTAAAACGGTCGTGTACACAGGAATTAATAAGCTTTTCAGCAAAAAGCGGTCGCGAAATACATTAAAAATCATGAGCTTTTCGATGAAAAAAAGCCGGATTTTTCCGGCAGTGACAGCAATTTGTTTGGTTATCTGATCACGAGTGATGCATCTGAATTGTTAGCATATCTAAACAAGGAAACATCAGTGCATTGTATATCTTTGGCGATTTTTCAGAGTTTCACTCACAGTTAGACGATTGTGTGCTAAACGGGATGCAAATTTCGGGGCGTGATAATTCCGTTCCACCACCGCACGTTTCACTAGCTCAAAAATATTATACTTGCTCAATGAAATTATTAATTAACGTGAAAGCTCGAACCATTTCAGGAAAAAGCGTGAAGGGGCTTGGCTGAAATTTCATACCACTGATCGGAAGCAATACATTGCGAGAGCGGTGGCCGAATTAGATCATTGTTCACGAGAGAGAATTCCTTCCAAAAAATAAGAAAACCAGTGACAATTCAAACAAAAAAATTACGGACCAGTCAGCCAGTCGTTACAAAAATCATAAAAAATATGGTTGCGTGTTTTACAAAATTACTACAATTAACGCCAAAAATGGTATTACGGTACAAGGTCGAACAACAAAGTGCAACCAAATAATAAAAAAAAACTGTTCAAGAAAAGTACACTCAGAAAAGTTGAAAATGACGTGTCCATAAACCGACCCTCATTATTTGGGTCCTCCTACCTAACCGCAGTTATAAACCATCTGCGAGGAGGAAGTAATAAAAATGCTTTTGCATTTAGCCTCAACATTTCTTTTAAGTAAATCCTGTCATGGGATTTTATTTCATTAATAATAATTATTATAATTAAGGGTGTGTAAAATATGTCATACAGTGTTATTCTGAAACGAGCAAATTTGTAACTTTAAAACGTCATTATTCTGTCTCAATAGAAAGAAAAGTATTTTTTTTTGCCTTTGGAATTTTTTTCTGCTTTTTAAGTTTCATCACAATGGCGTTTTTATTTTTTCGACAAAAATGTAACTTTGACAATTAATTAATTAATTATTGTAACCGTTATTAGCGGAAAAACAATAAAATGCTGCCTGATCTAAATCCAATAGAAATTTTATAGTTCGCGACTACCGAAGTTTTCAACTCAAAGTTCGCGAATGAAATTTAAAATAAAAAAATTGGCGCAGCACGTTAATAACGTTTGGGACCATTTCCGCTACTGACAAATTTGCCAAAATTTGGTGGATAATATGCATGAATGTTTAGCCAACAATGGATATCATACACATTACTGATATTAATTAGTGATTATAATAAATAAAATATTTGTAAAATCTATAATTTTTGCCTTTTATTGAAATAAATAAAATTAATTATTTAAATTTAAAGCAATTTTTGTCTTTAATTATAATAATTATTAATAAAATAATATCTCCTGCTTTGAAGTTTTACTATTTTTCATGAATGAAAGCAACAAATCTTTTCAGAATGTTATTGTTTTGTCGATAATACCAATTATATTAATTAATTAATTAATTGTCAAAGTTACAATTCTGTCAAAAAAATAAAACCACCATTATGATGGGACTTAAAAAGCAGAGAAAAATTCCAAAATCAAGAAAAAATTTACTTTTCTTTCCAATGAGGCAGAATAATGACGTTTTAAAATTACAAATTTGCTCGTTTCAGTATAGCACACCGTATAACACACTTTACACACGTTTAATTATAATAACTATCAATAATGAAGTAATATCACCTGACAAGATTTACTTAAAAGAAATGTTGAGGCTAAATGATAAAGCATTTTTATTACTTTAATTAAAGTAAGAGGACCCAAATAATGAGGGTCGGTTTATGGACACGTCATTTTCAACTTTTCTGAGTGTACATTTACTGTTTTAAAAATACTCAATATCTAAGCTTCGAGTAATCGTTTATGTGAAATGATCTGTGTAATATCGTCACTGACAATTAAGCTCAACTAGTGTAAGAAATGTTTGCATCCAGTTAAAATTTAATGGTTCGGATAAGCGTCCCATATGGTTGCCAAACTGGCGACCGGCTGCCATAAATTGGCATCTTTTGCCATTAAGTGAAACCAATAAAAATCGTATTTTGTCCAGCGTTTGAATTAATTAACGTTTTGCCACCAAAACGACCGTAAATCATCTCGAATCCTGAACTTAATGTGCCAGAATCTATTAAAATTGCGACTTTCCGAAAACGTCTAACTGTTTTAAATTACCGTTTTATTTTTCCTCTTCAGTCTCATAATAACATATAAGTAGAACTGTATTTTTTGTCGCAATTAAAGTGTCTCGGCAAAATGTGATAAATTCAAATCATTTCGAAAAAATTTCGCGGCATTCTGGAAAATAAAATCCCACAGATCCCACGTTACAACTCAACATCATGTTTTATTTATTTTACTTCATATTTCTATAGAAACTAGTTTGTCTCGCGGTGCGAAATTTGTAATGGTAATGGGAAAATGTTTATAAATACGGACGAGACTCTAATTACCGCCCAACGATTTAAACATTTTTTCCGAAAGGAAAAATTGATAGAAATCACGCAAAAAGTCAATTTGGCCTAGTTTTCGCAACACAAACTTGATTTATTGAGCAGAAAATGACCCGATTCCTATGACTTACCTCTTTGAGTCCATCCAGCCGTCCCAGACTCCTCGCCTGTCTCAGTCCATTTTCTTGTCTGCGACCTTTTTTCCTCCTTTCCAACAATCTGGGCTTTCGGGGCGTCACCGGTTCGTTATCTTCCGGATCAGAATGCACTTCTGGACAATGATAAGTGTACCTCCTCCTCGACGAAGGACTCGTGATTCGCGTTATGAGGTTGTCGAACATGTTTCGTTCTTAGAATCCTCCTTTGGACATGTTGACCTTTCCGGTTTACCCAAACGTTTAGCGATCGATTGGTGTTTGCTTAGGGCACGTGCTGACCGGCCTGCAATCACATTTTCAAAGACTAATTAGGATTTCTTGTCTCGATCGTTGCATAAATATTGGCTTTGAAGTTGAACAACCTTATCGATGACTCGAATTTTTATCGGTGTGCCTTTAGAAAGTTTCTAATGTTCCGACAATTGAAACATGTCGCACAATTACGCAACTATTTGACAGTAGGTGGAGTCGTGTTTGTTCCACAAGAACAATACGCGAGATGTTGAAACCTATCTAATCCTGATCTATTTTCGCATTACGCAACTCGGGGATAATCACTATGTAATCTATTTTACCATGCTTATTAAAAATCGACTTTTATTCATAATAACATAGCACTACTGTTGATGGCCGCTCATTATCGTGATGATTTTATTTCATGCAAAAAATCAAACTATAATTGATTCGTTTAGCTATTTCTGACGTCGAAGATTACAGGAGTGCCTAGAGACCATTGCTTAACACACAAATGTTCAAAAATGTACTATGTGAGAAATGAGAACCTCCGGTTATTACTATTTATTTAATGAGAAGATAAACTGGAATTGGGGACGGTAAAGTAGACTGATGTGGCAACACTATACATATTGTATAATGATTGATATTTCTTAACAAAAAATTATAAAAAACGAGCACTTTGTTTAAGAAATTTTATTTTTTTCAAATTCAAATACAAAAATGTCCGCTCGAATGCGGAAGCCCAACCCAGTCCAGATACTGAATGGTGAGTATTTGCGCAAATAACAATACGAAGCACCGTTAAAACTCAAACACTCTGTAGCTCAAGAGGCATAAAGTATGCGTTATCATGGCACGTAATAAACTTTGTGGAAATATGTAACCGAAAACCCGTGTAGTCTTCATAACGGGATAATATTTACAGCCGTGGTAACCATTTTATCAGCCATTTCGTGGTATATGACCACCATCCGTTCTTCATACCATAATTTGAATACAAGCAACGTATGACTTTACACATTCGAGACATTTCCGGCAAACACTAAACGCCACTCGGGAGTCATACCAATGAGAAAAATCGGGAGGAGAATGAAGGAAGCCTGAGAGGAATGTCGGATTAATCCAACATGGAAAAATTGAGATAACAATTTAATCGCATGAGTTCAGTTTTAAATTTTCCGACAAGTTATGTTATCTTGAAACTGGTAGTCGGCTGACAAGCCAAGGCGTTATAATTAACAAGTTCCTGTTATTATTTTTCATCCCGACAAGATTTTTTCCGGAATTTGCAACTAAAACTTAGCATAATTGACGAAGAGAGGATTTGCCTGTCAAAAATGAAGCATTAATTCGTCCGAAATGCAGCCTTATCGCAAGTTTGCATCGCTTGCACCTCCCTTGTCATGTTAAATCGCTTCTTCGTTTTTTCATATTCAAGCCGAAAATTGATGGGAAATGTGACAACACAACAGAAACCAAAAAACAAACACGAGTCCAGGTTTTTGACCCACGAAAAGCCACAGATTTCTCAATGTGTTTGCAGTTTCGAAAAAATGCAATTGCAGCGTTACGCTCGCTTGATTATTGAATATGCAATATGAATTTAATCGCAAATTCATCAACTGCCATAGATGTTTGTCCACTATCACACGAACTTTCACCTCTGATTGCTTCTTGTAAAATTGGCATTGCGACCTTGAATTAGCGCATTTCTTTGTCATGATACCAACCTTGATGAGAGGAATTTCAAGTGAGATTTAAAATACAAAAATTGCTCGACGATGAAACATTTAAAACACTGTTTACACTTAAATATTTGCTTGTTCTGTGCTACAAAATACACAAGAGCTTTATTTAAACCATTTCCTCGTTCTATTAATTTTTGTTTGCTATTCAAATTTATGATTTCATAATAAAGACTAAATAGGTTTTAAATGATAATGGACTAGTTTAAATTGTATCGAAAGGCAAACCTTCCTGATTTCAATGCAAGGTCAAGGAGCGCGCGATCTCGAAAAACTCATCTACATTTCGCACTATTTACGAACTAGAATTACCAGTTATCGGTTTATTATTATTCAGTTCCTAATTTGGAAAAGTGAACTCATTCCGGTAGTTAAATATTAAGTTTTTTCTCATCGCGAAATCACTGAAACATTGATTTCGAATAATTCTTTCAGTAGTTTCAGCAATTCCAGTTTCAAGTTCGTAAAAATCTATCAAAAAGTGTGATAAAGAGAAGAGATTTCTTTGTTTATACTTATCGGAAAGCGTCATAACAGGTCTATAAAAGCACCTGTTGGAGACCCAAAAAAAAAAGGTAATTGTTTGTTTAGTGTCTTTTAGAAGGAATCCATGCACACGTGTGCGTCCAATACCGGTGCTAATAGAAAAAGTAAACACTTTTGCAATCCTCAACATCTCAATATGTTCTGTTATTGCAAATTCCAGCCCACGTCCGAATTAGCCGTTCCCAAAATCTCTAGAATCAACAAGCAGCAGTAGTAAAGTGGCCCAAGGACAACGAATCAAGGACAAGTCGCTGCGAATGACGTCCATAATATCCCAAGCAAAGTCGAGCCATCACATTCTATTTTGAATAAATTTTATGAGCACACATACACACACATGTTCTCCTCGAGACTTGTTCAGCCGGCGGCGGAGCTGCCTCTGAATCAGGATGACCGAAGTTCTTCTTCTTCGACTAGCTTGATCCAAACGCCGAAGATATGACACGCAACTCCTCACTACATTCCATGGGCCTCTGTCCCATTCAAAAAGCTAACGGCTAGCAGGCGACAAAAACCGACTTGAATACGGCTTGGAATTGCTTTATTACGGCACTGTGACGACCAAATCAAATTTTTAATATCGAGGGAACCCACTGACCGTGTCTTTCGGAGAAGGATAATCCGACGAGACGTAATAGGGAGCGAGTTTTTAGGAAATTGATTCGAGCTATTATAACGAATTACTTTCAATTTGAGTGCAAATCAGTTAATAATCACGTTGTACGGTTCCAGTTAGGCGAAGACTTCAATTAGCTTGTAGTCGAGCTATTTGTGATGGATCTATAAAGAATTTCCGAAGACGTGGGTCGCATTTCTCCATAAGAGCAGGTTTAGCATGTCGGCATCCGCTCCACATTACGACCACTAAGTCTACTGCTGCTTGCTGATTCTATGACGAGGTGCAGATGGCTAAGGATAAGCCTGCACAAGACTTATTGGTACACTGGAACCAATAAATTTCTGACACGGCTCTTCCTTTTCAAGTTTCAAACAAAACTACAAATTGGATATTGCTCTTGTTATTTTTTCTCTTTTATAATACACATGACGCACTACTCTAAGATCCATAATTCAATTGATGGTCCTGATGCTCGAAGAAATGTACAAATATTTTTAAATTCATAAATCAACTAGTAAAAGTTATTTAAAAAAATTAAATACATAATACTGAAAGGAAGAACACATTCTAAGTTTTTAAAGTGGGTAAAAGTAAATTTGATAACACATTGCTTCTTTTCTTATCACCATGAGAAAAGAACAATTCTTAATATGTAATTGAAAAAAAAAACACTTCAAATAACGAACTAAAATTGCAATTTTTATTGCGTTCTTCAAAAATTACCATTAACTTTGTAAGTTTTCTAATACTAGAATAGAATTCTGTATTAAGATTCAAATTTTTTTATACATAAGAAAATTAAAGTTCCGTTTTTTAACTTCTGCTTTTTTGTGCATTTATCCAATACATATTTTTGTGATGAGTTAAAATTTTTCAGTTCATTTCAGAAGTTAAAAATCATAAGCTTCAAGGTAAAATTTTGAGTTTAATATCTACAAATATTTAATAATAAGCCCTATTTGGTAATTTCTAACATAATTTTAGTTTTGAAAAATCAAGTATGCTTTGAAAATTTTCAAAGAACTTATTTTTCTATAAAGTAAAGTGCCTTTTGTGTGGCAAATACGACAAAAAGATATAAGAAAAGTTGTTTCGAATCAACATCTAGGCTCATGTACCAAATTTCAAAATCATAGGCCAACATGGATTTTTCATTTTTTTATGTTTATTGTCACAAATCAAAAAATTTTAGATTAGTACTAAATAAAATTTTGACGTTTCTGTTAATAAAAAGCAATTATCTTTGAAATAAAATGGAGAATCATGGTTGATTTTGAAATTTGGTATGGCGCCTAATGTTGATTCTAAACAACTTTTCAAAATAACTTTTTGTTGTATTTGCCACATAAAAGACACTTTACTCTACAGAAAACTAGTTTTTTTGAAAATTTCCAAGTTATACTTAATTTTTATAAAACTAAAATTATGTTAGAAATTAGAGCTGGACCCCAAAAAATGAAAATTTAAATCGAATTTTTTTTATCTCTTACAAAAGTCGTTTCACCTATCACACACTGTATGTTGGGTTCCATTTATATTATTTGCACATGTTTTCTAGCTTTAAGCATAAAGGTTTACTCAAAAGCTAGTTTTAAAAATTAATTTAAAAAATTCTAGTCGAATTTATGGCAATTATTTTAAAAACATTTATTTTAAAATGCCTATTAGAAATATAAAGAAAGAAAATCACAATTAATTTTTATTGCAGACATTTTTTTCTATAAAATGTGTTCGTTAAAAGAATTATTACGATTAAATTTTTACTTTTTTTAATACTTTAAACTTTAATTTGAGTTAAAATTCTAAATGTTTAACTTAAGTGTGACTTTACATATAAAATTGTAGCTTTACACTTAGAATTTGGTTTCGAAACTTCAAATTTTTCTTTTACTTTTGAAAATGAATAATTTCGGCCTTAATATTGTGTGACATTGAAACAATGAGTCAAAGTTAGTTCAAAAGTTGATAACTACAAGTTTGAATTTTGATTTTAATGTTACAAAGATTAAATAGAATTTAATAGGTTTTAAACCACCGAATTTAATCTCAAAAGTTATTTCATTTTTGTAAATGTTTTCAGACTGCTATAACAAGTTTTTGAAGATTTTTTGTAAAAAATAGAGAAATTTTTTTTTC